CTCTGTAGACCAGGCTGGCCTTGAACTCACAGAGATCCTCCTACCTCTGCCTCCTGAGTGCTGGGATACAGGCATGTGCCACCATGCCTGTTTAAGGTTTTCTGTTTCTTATCCAGTCGGTTTGAGGTTTTATATTTTTCTAGAAAAGCATTCAGTTCATTCAGATTTTCAAGATTTTGAGCCAAGAGTTATACCTAGTAGTATTTCCATAATTGAAAAAAAATTATCTGCATGCAAGTCACATCCCTCTTCTTGTTATAGTGTTATATATGTGTTCTTGTCCTATCTGTCTGTCTATCTATCTATCTATCTATTTATCTATCATTGATGTTTTCTAAAAGCCATTTTTTAAATTGACTTCTATTGGCCAGTCTTTAGATTTCAGTATACTTAGAGGACAGTGATACTGGCACAATTACTAAGCATTTAATGGCTTTAGATTTCTCATGTGGTGCTGGGAATTGAATCCGGTGCTTGTGTGTGTGAGACATGTGCTTTACCAGCTGAGCTATTCGCCAGCATCAATTACCAAATATTTGTTTAAAATGAAAGAAGAAAGGTTAGCCGGTTAAGTCGGGTGTGGCACAGAAGTCCTGTCAGATTAGCACTTTGGAGACGGAGGCAGGGAGGTCAGGAATTGAAGGCCAGCCTTGGCTACGTGAAACCCTATCTCCAAAGAGCAGAGAAGTGGGTGCAGAGATGGCTCATCAGTTAAGAGTGCTTGCTGACCTTCCAGAGGATCAGAGTCTGATCCCCAGTCCCATGTTGGGCAGCTCATAACCACCACCTTTAACTCCAGCTCCAGAGGATCTGCCTCTCTCTCCTGGTCTCCCCCGGCACCTACACTCTCATGCTTATTCCTACATACAGACACAAACACCTAAGTTAAAATGAAATACATCTTTTTTAAGGGAGACAGAATCTAAATGTGAAAGGGACAGCCTGATGTGTCTGCACAGTTCCCAGTTTTTTTTTTTTATTTAAAATATATTATGGGGACTAGCAAGATGGTTTAGTAATTAAGAGCACCTATTGTTCTTCCAGAGGACCTAGGTTCAAATGCCAGTACCCACATGATGGCCCCCATCTGTTTCCAGTTCTAGGAGAATCTAACACCCTCTTCTGGCCTCTGTAGGCACCAGGCACATAGGCAGTGCAGAGACATAAATGCAGACAAAACACTCATGCACATAAAAATTTAAATCCTGAGTATTAAAAGAACCCATGCATAATTGGTTCTAGCCTTTGGTGGGAACAGACAGCCAAGCATAACAAGAAAGTCAGAAATCATTCTAATTTTACTGAGGTATACTTTCAATATATCAATAAAAATAAAGTAAAAGCCAATCAACATACTTGAGAAAAATATTTGTAGTGCATAATGGACAAGAGGTCAATATTCTAAAAAGCCTTTGCAGATCAATAAGAAAATATGAATGTTCAATGTAAAAATGAGCAAAATTGGGCTGAGCGTGACAGACAGTGCTGTAATCTCAGCACTTGTAAGGCTGAAGCAAGAGGACTGTGGCTCGTTTGAGGCCAAGCCTGGGCTCTATGGTGAGACCCTGTCTCCAGCGAGATAGCTCAGTAGGCCATAGTACTTGCTGCTAACCCTGGCAGACTGGGTTCAGTCCCCAGAACCCACATGGAAGGAAGGTGAGAACCTTCTCCCACAGGTTGTCCTGACCTCCATGAGTGTTGAGGCCGATATGCACCCCTTCCAGCATACCCACACACAATAGGTAAATAAACATAGTTTAACTTAAAACCGCCCCACCCCAAATAGCTTAGTGTATAGTCAACATTAGAGAGACACAGGCGACTGAAAAATGGCGGGGAGGTGTCCAAGCTCCCAATCAAAGAAACTCAGGTGAAGAAACCAGGTCAGTTTTCACTTTCAAGCTTGCAAGAGCACCCCGAGGCCAGACAGGAAGCTGAATTTGGCTGTGATGGGTAGGCAGTGGGGGGCCATGAAAAGACTTTTGAACAGAAATCAACTACCATAAGACAGGTCTGGAGCTGAGTGTGGAGGCAAATGCCTGTAATCCCAGCACTTTAGACAGTAACGCGGGAAGAGCGCAAGGAGCAGGCCAGCCCAACCTGGGCTAGAGCGAGACCGCGCCTCAAAAATAACAAAAACAATCATTTGAAAGAAAGGAAAAGAAAAGGGAGGGCCCATGTTCTCACACAGGATGAAAGGGAGCTATGAGACCAGAGGCTAGCCCAGCAGCACCAGTGTGAGCAGGCCTTGGCCTGGAAGAGCACAAAGCATGGAAGGATGTCTGGGCTGAAAGCATCCCAAAGAGAGAAAAACCAAGATGGCGGGTGGTGTAGCTGGGAGGAGGGCGGGCAACGTTAAAGGAAACCAGGCTGCTGGGAGTGAGTGGGAGTTCCAAATCGGTTTTTGACACTGGAGCAGCGGTTCTCAACCTTCTTGACGCTGCAGCCCTTTAATACAGTTCCTCGTGTTATGGGGACCCCCCCCCACACACACACCATAAAATATTTCATTGTTACTTCATAACTGTAATTTGCTACTGTTATTAGTTGTAGTGTAAATATCTGTGTTTTCTGATGGAGAGAGAGCTCAGTGGGTAAAAGCCCTGTACATGCAAGCCTGAGAACCTGAGTTTCATCCCAAAAGCCATGTCAAAGCTGGAGGTCTTTGTACACACCTGTAATCTCAACATTCTTACCACAGAGAGGGAGATGGAGACAGGAGACCTGTCCAGAGGCCGTCAGATCAGCTAGCCTGACTTCTACAGCCACAAAACAAGGAGTAAACCTGCCTTAAAATAGGGTGGAAGGTGGGGAGGCGGCTCCGTGGTTAAAGTGCTGGCTACACAAATGTGAGGACTGAAGTCTGGGTCTCCCACAGAAATGCCAGGTGGCCATGGTTGTCTTCCTGTAACTCCAGCCTCAGAAGGCAGAGAGAGGGGATTCCCCAGTGCAGGCTGGCTAGCAAGACTAGGTATATCAGTGAGCTCTGGGTTGGACTGAGAGACCCTGCCTCAGTGAATATGGTGGGAGATGATCAAGGGTGATCTCGTCATTAGCGTGGGGCTTCCATGTGCACACAAACTAGAAAAGAAAATGGAAAGGCAAGGACCAA